TAAACAACAAAGATCTGATAAAATAAAATATTATTATTATTATTCTTCTAACTAGTAGATCAATTATTATTTACAAATTTACTTTATTAAAACTATATTACTGTAACTTTTCTCAAGTATGCAGATACTATCTAAATTTTTTTTGTATTTATTATGTTATTAGTATTTGTTAAGTATTTAAATTCTTTAATCTAATTTATAAAATCTTTATATATTTCACTATTATAAAAGAAAAGTGATATAATTAATAGCTCAATTTGTTTATTCTACTAATTTTGTATTATTTCTATCAATAAAATAAGAGTATTTACTAATACTTAAACTACTTGATCTGTCATATTCTCTTGATTTCTTTAAGATTAAAGTGATAATAAGTCTAAAATAATAGAATTTTGTATTTTTTTGTCTGATAATTCTTTTTTTCTTGTATTTCTGAACTAAACTGAAATAATTTTTCTATTATTTAAGAAGTTAGTGAAAAATATATTAGAAGTTGAAACTAAAATAGATGATGATAGAACTATTATAAATATTCTAACTGATATATTAATTAAAATATCAGTTCTGAATTGTCAAATATAATGAAATCTCTATTAGTTAAATATAATAATATTTTCATATAAATTATGAATAATATTAACTATTTTAGCAGAAATATAAGTTAAGTATTTTAAGATCAAAGTTATAACTAATATTTTACTAAAAAAATATTTTTCTTTTTTATATCTGCTACAAATAAACTATTAACTAATTATTATAATTCTTTTTCTTATAATCTGAATAATCAAGATAAATTAAAAAAGTTAATTAATCTCTGAAATTATCTTTTTATTTTGATATTAGTTGATTTTGTAAGATCCAGTTTGAAGTTTATGTATATATAAATATTTTAAAATAGTAAGAATAACTATATTTATAATAATTATTTACTTTTATATCTTTAAGAAATTATATAATTAATTATCTTCTTAATAAGATAATATATACAAGTTTTACTTTTAATAAATATAATTATCTTCTTAATAAGATAATTTATATGATTTACTTTTGATAAAATGCTTTCTTAATAGAATAAAAAAATAAAGATAAGATATATAATAAAATATATGTATTTATTAAAGAAAATTATTAATTAACTATTCTTAATTCAGTAGCTAGTTATATCTATTAAACTTAATTATTCTTTTTGATCACTTCTTAACTCTTTATATATAATATTTTTTTTGCTATGTTAATTATAAATTATTTTTAATATAATATTTTACTTAATTTACTTAAAAACAAGTAGAATTTTAAAGAAATAATTATAAGAAATATTAAATATATAATATTTTACTAATTTTAATTCTTAATTATTAAGATATTCAAAGCTAAAGTGAAAAAAGAAAGAAAAACTAAGAATAATTAATTAAAAAATTATTAATTTAATAAAATTATAAATTAAATATAATACATATAGCTAAATTAATAAAAGAATAAGATTAAATATAAATAATAAGATAAATTAAAAATAGGATTAATATAAATTAAATTAATTAATATAAATTTCTTGTATATTTAATTTAGTAATAATTAGTAATTACTGTATTATATATTACAGTTATATTATATACTATATCATATTTACTGCATCATAAAATAGATGATTAGTTATAATATTATTCTTGTAATAAATATATATATTATATATTTTACTTTTTTCTTGCTTGTTTTATTAGAAGTAAAATTTACTTAAATTATTTTATTAAGAAAATAATTAATTATCTTTTATTATATAAAGTTAAAAAGTTAATAATTACTATAAATATAATTATTATTACTATTTTAAAATATTTATATATATATAAATTTAAAATAATAATAGTTTTTTTAATATCTTTTCTGTGAATAATAAATTAAAATTAAAAATAATATTAGATAAATTAATTTAAGTTAAATTTAATTAAGCTAATAAATATTAAAATAAAGAAATAATATAAGAAATATCTTAATTTTAGTATGATTAGCTCAATTATAAGAACTATATTAATTAATTAATAATTTATTTTTAGTAAGTATAATCAAAGAAAATATTTCTATAATAAAATATTAATTATAATAATAATTATAAAAATATTCATCTCATAACTCTATTTAAATAGCTAAATTTATTTATAATTTATATAAAAAGATATTATTTTTAATTAATAAAAATTATATAAATTTAAAGTTATATCTTTTGAACTTTATAATATATTAGCAATTTTTTAATGAATTATGAATAATATACTTGGAGATTATAATTAAAAATTTATCATAATCTATATTGATAATATAAATATATATTCAAAAACTTGAGAAGAATATCTATTATATTTATAAAAAGTTTTTTAATAAATTAGAGAAGTTAAATTAAAACTTAATCTAGAAAAATGCAATTTTATTTGAGATAACTTACTTTTTCTAGAATATATCATAACTCAAGATGACATTTTATCTATCTTTTCAATTATTTAATAAATTCAAGAGTTTTTTATATTAATAAATATTAAGAAGCTTAAATTATTCTTAGAATTAATTAGATATTATAGAAAATTTGTTAAAGAATTCTCACAGATAATAACACTACTATTTAAACTTTTGAAGAATAATATTATTTTTATTTGAATTATAGACCAAGAAAATACTTTTCAAATTTTGAAAGAAAAACTTACTATTATTTTAATTTTAATTTATTCTGATTTTATAAAAAAATTTTATCTTTATATTGATATTTTTGACTCTGAACTTGATATAGTATTATCTCAAAAGAATGATAAAGGAAGAAAATACAATGGTTAACATAAATATTTGAAATGTCAATCTGATATATAAAACATTACATAATATTACCAATTTTAAACTAATATATGTATAAAATTGAGATTACTTTATTTAATAATAAACATAATAATGTAAATATTTTTGTTATCAGTTTTTGCATCCATTAACAAAAAAATAAAAAAAATACCACCTATTTCCAAGTATGAAGCACAAAGAATAATGATAAGTTAGCTTTAGGCAAATAATATTTAGAAACTTACAGAAATTATATAAATAACAGATTTTTCTAAATCTATGGTATATGATATAATTAATCAGATTAAAAAATCATCAAGTATTATGCCACTTTCCAGATCTGAAAGACTCCTAATTCTCACAGTTAAGCAATATTATATTTTTGGCTGATTGGTACATATCAATAATACCACTACTGCAGCTGAAATGATTAAAAGACTTAAACAAAAAGATTCTAACTTAAAAGTTTCTATTCATATAATTCAACGTATCTTAAAAAAAATCTTTGATTTGATATTTGTCATCTATTATAGATCTCTCTTTTATAGCTCTATTATATTACAGCTTGTCTTAAATGGGTACAGAAATATGTCCATCAAAATTGGTCTTATATGATTTTTTCTGATAAAATAATCCTCTAAATATTTAGAAATACTCAGCTAATAAGATACCATCATAGAATATCATGACTACATAAAACTATGATAAAGTATTCCTATAAGATTCATACTTGGAATACTTTTAATACATAAGAACCAATTGCACTTGTCTTATTCATTAAAAATTTCAATACTAAAAAATATCAAGAAATTCTTGAAATGAATCTTTTTTCCCATATTTTCATAGCAAATTATAGATTATATTTTCAACAGGATAACTTTCCAATTCACAATACAAGCAAAATAATCAATCTTTTTCATCACCATAATGTTCAAATTCTTGATTAGTCTTCTTACTTGCCAGATATCAATCTCATCAAGAATTTATAGGCTATACTTAAGAGAAAGATGAAAAAAAAGATAAATTTATAGTTAATCAAAAAAAAAAAACTTTTAACAATGAAATTTCAAATGATAATACAAATGAAATAGGTGGATTTGAGTAAAGATCTCTTTTTTTAATTAGCAAGGAGTATAAAGAATCATGTTTCAGCAGTAATTAAATGAGAAGGAAAAAAATTAACTATTAAATTTTTGTAAATAGTTAGTAGTCATATTTGAGAATATGTGTATAAAATTTTAGCATATGTTAATAATAAAAATAAAATGTCTTACCTATCATAATAAATTCTAATATTTATGTCAACTACTGTAAGTAGTAGTCTATATAAGTATTTTACTTAAATTAGCAAAAAAGAATTATAATATTACCAAAAAGAAAGCTCTGGCTATAATTTAAACTATTAAATAATTTTGATATTATCTTCTTGGATCTCTCTTTAAAATTATTACTAATCATAATATACTTTAATAGCTATTTATTAAATAAATTAATTCTAGATCAGTATCTAAAATTGACTTGTGGAGCTTGCAGATCACAAATGATTTTAAATTTTCGCAACCAAAATCTGATATGCATGTGCAGATTCTACAAATAAAATTTTTGACTTTCCGTAAGTTTCTGCATATTAATTTTAGATTGCATATATTTTGTAAGTAAAATATTTAATTTACTTGTGGAATTTAAAAATCTAGAAAATAAATTCGAAAACTCATATTTTAATTATTCAATATTTACTGGCAATAGCTAGCCACTGAATCAGATGCTTCTATAGTGCTTTATTGTAATAATAACTGCCACATGGCAGGCTATACTTAAAAAGCACTCTCATCAGTCACATTATAAGGAATAGAGTGAGAGAAAAGCAAAGAAATTTTATATAACCATATGATGCATATATTCTGGCCTTTATTATGTACAGACTATTTATATCCTTCTGACATTATTGATCTCATAGTTTCTTATTGATACTAATAGTATAAATGCTTAGATTATATATCATCAGTTACTGTGCTACATCACACCTATTTTATCTAATTATTTCAGGTCCTATTTCAAACTGATTATTTGCAGATTTATCCACCAATCTTGTATTACATTCTCATAATTTTCTAATTTAGTAAATTTTGCTCATCACTATTCATTTTTACTCTCACGCAACAGATGAGTAAATTTTATTAATTATGACCAATGTTCCAAATATACTTGACAAATATCTACATTCAATTAATGAATTTACTGAATTATCTGGATTATTCATACTAGATTCAAAGAATAATAAGCAAAAAGAAAGCATGTTGATCTATAGTTTTACAAAAAAATCATGCAAGAAAAAGAATAAAGATGATGATAAGATATATATACAATCAGATTGGGATCAAAACTAGATTAAAGAATATCCATAGCTCAATCATCAACTTGATATCAATAGTATGCCCGAAATATATTGTATTTGGTATACAGTATATAATTAGCATTCTACTGGTATTTTCATTATTGGCACAAAAAGATTCAAAAAAGATTATTTAGAGAAATACATTATAATTAAGAAATACAAAAAGACTATAGAAAAATATACCAGATATCTATCTAATCAATTAGATCTAATAAGTAGATTTATGGCACAGGCTGGAGTTGATAAATTAGATATTATTGCTAAAATATGCTGTATATATCTTTGTGCAAAAAAACATCTTGCAATTGAGGTATTTCCTGATCTAGTCAAATTAACAATCCTTCAAGCTCAAAACAAAACAGAATTAATATATAACAGGTCTCCTATTACCACTTCATCTCCTGCTATTGATCCCAAGAAAGCTTTTTCAGATGTAACTTTAAATGATCAATCATCGAATTATGCAGTATATAGTAATTCAATAGCTGGTACTGATTTTTTACATGCTATTACAATAGTAATTGAGAAAATAATTTTGACAGAAGTTTTAGCATCTTTATCATGAAGTTTATTGATTGATAAAAGTAATATGATCACTCATGATAAAACATATGCTATTGTTAGCAAACATATGACAAAGAATATATCAGTACTTCAATATTTGAAATTAATTGAATTACATGAGACAGATACAGAGACTATAATAAAGAATTTGCAAAATTTTTTCATTACCAAAATGTTAAATACACAGAAATTAATGCATTTTGGTAGTGATGATGCTAGTGTTATGATTGATATGTATAAATACTATTTATTTGTTTCTGTAATATTATAAATTCTAACAATTTATATAGAAAATCAAACTGGTGTAATCACTTGATTGAAAAAAATCAATCTATTTATGACAAATTGTTATTGTATCACATACAGATTGAATTTGGCTAACAAAGATTCAGCAAATGACATTTCATACTTCAAGAATTATGAAGTCATAATAAAAGAAATTTACACATATTTTGGATCTTCACATCAAAGATGGTAACATTTAAGATTATTTCAATTATTAGATAAAGAAGATCTACAATTGGCTGTATTATATGTTGTTAGTACTTGATGGCTATCACTTTCTAATGCAGTTTCCAACTTACACTAAACAATATTCTCAGTAAAGAATACTCTTCATGATGAGGTTCTTAATAACTCTTGTACAAAGACCAAATAATGAGCAAAATCTTTATATGATGATATTGATTCAGAATTTATTCTGACAATCAAATATCTTGCAGATATTCTCTCAACAATTAGCAAACTTACAAAAGTATTTCAGTCTGATTATGTCACATTATCAGATGTACATACACAATTAAATGTGATAATTGAGTCAATTACTTTGGAATTTATTGGCAATGAAGAAGATAATATTGTACTAACTTGTAGATATCATTTATGTACATACATGGATGATACACTTTAACATGATGAATTACCTCTAACTTTTAAAGAATTTGCAGTATTATTTATCAAAAATCTTCACTAATGATTTCTTGATACTGGTCTTTACAATACTATGCAAATTTTTGATTTTTCTCAAATTCCAACAAGTTTCAGAGAAATATCAACATTTGGAGAAGATGAAATCCAAACTCTAGGTAATTTTTATGGAAAATTCAAGCAACAAAATGATGTAATTTTTTCAGCAAAAGTGCATAAGAATGAACTTCTTAAAGAATGGTGGGAGATAAAATTAGTTTTGAAAAATTATAAAGAATTGGGTTTTGTGGAAGGATGAAAATGAATTTTTGATACTTCTTAATTTGTTGTGCTTTATCCTAATGTAGCTGAAATAGTGTTTTTTGCTTTGATTGTTCCACTTTCAAATGGTAATGTTAAAAGAATTTTCTCTCAATAAAATCTTATAAAAATAAAAGTACGTAATCAAATGAAGCTTAAAATACTTAATTCACATATTATGATAGTTATAAATGGGCCAGAATTAAGAGATTTTGATTTTGAAAAAGCATATAATATTTGGCAAAGACTTTCAAGATGAATTTAAAATTAGCTTTTCTTTTTTATTATAATAAAATTTATTTTATAAAATGCGCAACTATATATTTATTTTCGTAAATATATAATATATATTACTTGCAAGTGTGCAATTAAAATTTAAAATCCACAAGTAAAATTATCTATTTTGTTATGAGTTCATAACCAAATTAAAAATTGAATTTTAGATACTAGTTACAATATATAGATAGTTAAAGATACTATCTTAATTATCATTAAATACCACTCTAACTATAATTGAATTAGACTTAGACCCAGAATAGCAACAACATCTTTATCAAAAATTCATATAAAGATCTCTTTGATATGACTTAGCCTGGTAAAACAAGTATACTTCAACATGAAATATATTTAGAAGAAGAAAAGTCTATCACTCTCCAACCATATCATCAAAAATCACCTATAGAGAATGCTTTTCTAAAAGAAAAGATTCAAAAGATATTGAATAATGAAATAATATCTCCTTTTGACAGCCCTTGATTAGCTCTAGTAGTGATAATTAGAAAGAAAAATAGAAAATTCTAATTATGTATAGATTATAGAAAACTAAATGAAATCATCAAGAAAGACTAATATCTTCTATCACGAATTGACAAACTCTTAAATTTTTTCAAAAATACTAAATACTTTACTATTATGAATTTAGCAAGTAGATTCTGGCAAGTTGAGATGCATCCAAGAGATCAAGAAAAAATAGCATTCATCATCAATAAAGGACTCTTTCACTTTAATGTCATGCCCTTCAGACCTACTAATATTCTGGTCACATTTTAAAGACTAATAAACAAAATCTTCAAAGAATATATTAGAAAATTTATAGTTATTTATCTTGATGATGTCACTATATACTTAAAAACTTGGAAAGAACGTGTAGTTCATGTACAAAAAGTTTTAGAAAAACTTTGGCAAGCCAATCTCAAACTTCAATCAGATAAATATGCTTTTGATAAAAATTAACTACCCTTCCTAGATTATATCATAGGAAAAGATAGAATTCATCCTGATCCAGCCAAGATAGAAAAAGTACAAGAATTCCTAGTACCTACTAATATCATATTATTAAGAGAATTTGTAAGACTTGTCTCTTATTATAAAAGATTTATCAAAGACTTCACCAAGATAGCAGCTCCCTTACATAAGCTATTCAAAAAGAATGAAGAATTCAGATAGACAGAAAAGTAGCAGACAGCTTTTAAATCACTTAAGAAATATTTGACCTCATTACCAATCATTACCTATTCAGATTTTATAAAACTATTTACTCTTTTTACTGATGCTTCTGGATTAGGATTAAGTACAGTATTAGCATAATATGATAGTAAAAAAAAGGAATACGTGATAGCTTATGTTAGTAGAAGAGTAAATAAGAAAGAAAGCAAGTATATAGTAATAGAATTATAATGTCTTGAAATTATTTAAACAATCAAGCTATTTAGACCTTACCTATTATTTGATATTCCATTTACACTTGTCATTGATCACTCAACACTCAAGTAGTTAATCAATAAATCAAATTCTCCTAGAAGACTTGTACGCTAGATAATGGCTTTACAAGAATATAATTTTAAAGTTAAACATAAATCTGGAAGAATTCATTCAAATATTGATCCACTTTCTAGAATATCACACATATCTATAAAAGAAAAAGATAAAACATGAATCTGGATAATTATACAGAATTATATAATTACCTTAACATACTAATAATACCTGATGAATTCTCAAAAGAAAAATAGAAATAGCTGCTGGCAGAATCAAAGAAATACTTTATACAAAATCACAAACTATACAAAAAAAATAAATAGGATATTGATCATCCATTATTAGTTATCAAATCAACAGAGATAAAATCAGTTCTTTATAATAATCATTCAGATATTATCTCTGGATATTTTGAAATTGAAACTACCTATAATCAAATAATAAGAAATTATTACTGGTCTTAAAGATATAGAGATATTGATACATATATTAAAGTCTATGATATATATCAATAAAAAGGATGACTACGCAAAAATAATAAAATAATATCTATTCAAGTTAATGTACCTTTTAAAAAAATTAGAATCAATTTGGTAGAATCTCTTCTAGTAACTGGTAATAGAAATTGCTATATTATAGTTGCTATTAATTATCTAACCAAATGAACAGAAGCAAGACTAATTACTGATACTTCTGCAAGTATAATCATTACCTTTCTTTATAAAGATATAGTGATAAGATATGGATTTTCAAAAGAAATACTTAGCGATAGAGGAATTACATTTATTAATGAAATAATTAAAGAACTATTAGACAAATACCAAATCAAATACAGACTTTCTATATCTTATCACCCTCAAAATAATAGATTAGTTAAGAGATTAAACCAGATTTTATGTACTTCATTATTAAAGTATATTCAACTTCACAAGAAAGATTAGAATTATTATCTATCTTTAGTTTTATTCACCTACAGAACAATGAAACAAAGTATGACTTCATTTGAATCTTTTCAATTAGTATATGATCAATAAGTAATCATACTATTAGATATTGAATTAAAAGATTTTGATAATCTTACTTTTGAAGAAGCTCTCATTAAAAGAACATGTGAACTAATTGACAAATTAGAAATTACATGAGAACTAGCTCTTAGTAATATTCAAGAAGAATAATTAAAATAAAAAAAATGATATGACAAAAAACAAAAGTCAACAGTTTTTCAAATAGGACAGAAAGTATTAATGAGATGAATGGAAACTCAACACTGGCATCATGATAAGTTTGGTGAAAAATGGAAAGAACCATTCTATATTCATGAAGTATATAATAAAGGAGCATATAAACTTAGAAACAAAGATGGAAAAGTTTTAAAGAATCTATATAATGGTGATTATTTGAAACTATATATCAAGTTCAATAATTTAGAACTAATAATTGTCATCAAT